CCCCGCTTTAGGTCGGTGAGGACAGCGCAGGAGTTCCTAGAGGTTGTTGTTGCGCGCTATTCCACCCTGCCCTCTGCCTCCGTCGGTTGCCTGATCCTCCCCATGCTCTTTCCTGATCTTGCGTCAATCCCTACTGTCGCTGACCTGGTAGCCCACCTACGCATGCTAGACACGACCTGGCGCGTTGCCTGCACTGAGGCCCAGCGTCGTGTGTTTCAGCCCCCCATCTGCTCTACCCTCTACCTGCTTGCCACCCGCCTCCAAGACCGCCTTGCCACCGCCCGTGATCACTTCTTTAGTCTCCACCCCACTGACCTCACCCTCACTGACTTTGTTGAGAACCTGTCTGCCGTAGAGACTCGTCAGCACTCTATCGCCCAGTCTAGCGGTACCGTGCCAGTCTCTATCTTTCAGGGCTGTGCCCCTGCTCAGTGCACTTACTCTTAACGGTTCTGCTCCGGTCGCTAAGACAGCTCTTGCTGCGGAGACAGCCGCCGCAGTGCAGTTTCGTCCGGGTAAGGGTAACCGCCACAAGGCTGGGCGCGGCGGAGGTAGCATAGGAGGGGGTGGTGCCGATTGTGGAGGTGGCTCGCCCGCTGGTAGTACTGACGAGGAGGCTGGGGCTGGTGCCTCGGAGTACCAGCCCTAGCAGCAGCAGCAGTAGGCGCCGCAGCAGGACCAGCAGCAGCAGCCGCCGCAGCAACAGTAGCCGCAGCGGCGAGTCGGCTGTCTCCCGCCTAAGTGGCCTAGCGCCGGCATTGACGGTGGTCACAGTGGTCGTGCGCGCGGCGTGACGTCGGGTGGTGGTCCGAGTGACGGGCACTGCCAGTACCAGTTCCAGACCAGTCCTCGCCGCGGCCTCGTGTGCAGTAAGATTGGCCATTCCCCCACTCGTTGCTTCCGTCGCCTAGACGACCTGTTTCGTCTCCGCTTCGGCCCGTTGCCTGACCTCCGCGACTAGCACAGTCTACTCCGTCGTGGTGTTAGGATCTTTGATATGGACATTGATGAGATTAGCTCTGCTTTGTATGTGCTGTATATTGATGACTCTAGTGTGACTGGTTCCTATTACCCTGTGTTGCCTAGTGTAGGTGTGCCCAGTGTGCCTAGTTCAAGCTCCCCTACTGCGTGCGGCCTAGGATCCCCTGCCTTGTTTTGCCTTGGGTCCTCCCTCACTCCTCCGACCCCGGTCGTCACTGCCACGCTCTCCTTCACCCTGGACTTTGGCGCTTCCCGGTGTTTCTTTCGGGACTCCACTACGCTTACGCCTCTTGCCGCTCCCGCCGCTATTGCTCTTGCAGACCCTTCCTCTGGTCCTATAGTCGCCCGTAGCTCCACCACCCTCCCCTGTCCGGCGGTTCCCTCGGACTCCCTTACAGGCCTGCACATCCCCTCGTTCTCTAGGAACCTAGTTGGTGTCAGCTGCCTCCAGGACCTTGGCGTCATCACTACATTCCCTGGGCAAGAGCGGTACGCTGTCTGTACCTAGGCCGCCACTAGTGCCCCCCTCACCACGTTCCCCTGGGACCCGGTGTCTGACCTGTTCACACTAAACACCGCGTCCCCCCTGGTTGGGACGCCTCCCCATGTAGCATCGTTTACCCAGGTTGCTGCGGCTTGCTCGTATCGGTCGCTTACTCACCCGTCGTTTCTATGGCACCACCGTCTAGGTCACCCCGCTCTCACCCGTCTCCGTCACCTCCGTGCACGCCCTGCGTCGAGGGCCGGCTTCGCCGTGCCCCTCACTCCTCCTCGTTCCCCCCCACCGCCGCACCGCGGCTGACCCTGCACATGGACGTCTGGGCCCCCGCCCCCGTCCATGGGCCGCGTCGCGAGCGCTACTTCCTAGAGCTTGTCGATGACCACACATGCTACACCACCGTGTTTCCCCTGGAGCGGAAGACTGACGTGCCTGATGTTCTTATTCCGTGGCTAGTCTCTGCGCGTGTCCACCGAGGTCTCCCAGTGTTGCCTCTTCACTCTGACCGCAGTGGCGAGTTCGCCTCTAGTTGTCTTGGTCGTTTTTGTCGTGCGGAGGGCATCACCCAGACGTATACTCTTCCGGACTCCCCGCAGCAGAATAGGGTCGCTGAGCGACGCATCAGTTTGGTCATGGAGGTGGCTCGCACCTCCATGATCCATGCTGGTGCACCCCATTTTCTGTGGCCATTCGCCGTTCGCTACGCCGCTCACCAGCTTAACATGTGGCCGCACCCTCAGCGTCCGCAGGTTTCGCCGACCCTCCACTAGACCGGGTCTCCTGGTGAAGCATCTATGTTCTACGTCTGGGGCTGCCTTGCTCACGTCTGTGCCTCTAGCACGGACAAGCTTTCAGCCTGCCTGTCCCCTGTGTCTTCCTAGGTTTCCCCCTCGACTCGTCTGACTAGCACTTCTACCACCCGCCTTCTCACCGTTTCTTTCACTCTCGCGACGTCACCTTTGACGAGTCCGTCTCCTTCTACCACCATTTTCCCCACCGTGGTCCCCCGGTCACTCCCCCCCAGTTCCTGGTTCCCCCCCCTCGACCGGTAGCCCCTGCTCCTCCCCCTCACCGCCCTACCCCGTCTAGTGTGTCTCACGCCCCCCCCCTCCCGTCGATTGTCCCTGCCGAGGAGTCTGCTGACTCTCGTGGCTCGGCGGAGTCCCTTCCCCCGCCTCTCCCCGCCCCGGTCTCTCCTCCCCTATCGTTGCCACTACCGTCACATCCGCAGCCGCCTTCGCAGCTGCCGTCGCAGCCGTAGCCGTCGTCGTCACCGTCGCAGGGGTTCGTGAGTTCTGGGGGTGCTGGGGAGCAAACAGTGGGTACTGGAGTGGGTTTCTGTTCTGGGGGTGCTGGCGTGGAGCTTCTCGGAGAGAGTCGTCCTGTTGCTGGAGGTTCTGGTGTTGGAGTCGGGTAGCAGTCGCAGCAGTCGCCGCCGGTGTCCGCTCTTCGCCTCCTCGGTCTTCCCTCCCCTGACCGCCTACCGGTGCCTCCTCCGTCGCCGCTGCCTCCTCCTCTGCCGGTCTACGGCCATGTGTTTCCTCCCCTGAACTCCTCTGCGGCTCGTTTCCCTCCCCGTTCTCCTCCTGTGTCCCCTCCCCTCTCTCCTGACCCGACTCCTCCGTCTCACGTCTGGTCTCGTCGTCCGTCACGTGCTTGTCCTACCTCCCCTGTTCAGCAGTCTCACCCTATGTTGCTTCGCTCCCACGCGTCTCGTGCTCCTCTGCTCCTCCCGTCTGCTCTTCCGTCGTCGCTTGTTGTGGCCCCGCCCACGTTCTCTGACTTCCTGTGTACAGCACGTCCCCTTGTTCCTAGTGTCCTTGCCTCACTTGTTACTGACCCGTCCGTTCGTGTCTCGAGTCTGTCGGCTCTTGTCGCTGCTGTCACTGACTTCGCCGCTACCCGCCGCCTTGACTACTCTACTGATCTGGTCTCTGACCCTGCCTACCCTCCGGCCGTCGGGGGTGTGGCTGCCCTTGGCAGTAACGTCCTAAAGGACAGGTAGTACGAGCTCGCTTTCCTGTCTCAGGCCGCTCCCCAACTCTGTCCCATGTTGCTAGTCCCTGAGGGTGACCCTGATGCCCTCGATATCCCGACCCTTTGCACCTACGCTGAGGCCACCTTGTGACCCTAGGTTTCTCAGTGGATAGTTGCCATGGAGCAGGAGATGGCATCTTGGAGATCCACCGGTACCTTCGTCGACGCAGTTCCCCCACCTGGGGTGAACGTAGTCGACGGCCGATGGCTCTTCAAGGTGAAGCGCCCTCCTGGAGAGCCGGCCGTCTTCAAGGCGCGCTACGTTGCTCGAGGCTTCAGTCAGCATGAGGGGGTGGACTTCTTTCAGACCTTCGCCCCGACCCCGAAGATGACTACTCTTCGGGCACTACTACACGTAGCAGCACAGCATGACTACGAGCTGCACTCCCTCCACTTCTCCACAGCTTTCCTCCAGGGTAGTCTACACGAGCAGGTCTACCTGCGCTGCCCCCAAGGCTTCTCCGGTAACTTTCCCCCTGGTACCGAGTGGCTCCTCCTGCGCCCCGTCTACGGCTTGCGATAGGCGCCCCTTGTGTGGCACGACACACTATGTGCTACACTTGCTGACCTGCAGTTCTTCCCGTCGTCTGCAGACCCCTCGCTCTTTGTCCGTTCTGGCCAGACTCTGTTCTACATCCTTCTCTACGTCGACAACCTAGTCTTTGCTACTACAGACAGAGACGCGCTAGCCTCCGTGAAGGCCGAGTTGCTGAGGAGACACACCTACACTGACCTAGGAGAGCTGCGCCACTACCTTGGCTTGCAAATGTCCAGGGACAGAGCAGCGCACACCATCACTCTCTCACAGTCACACTTGGTGCGCCAGGTCCTTCAGAGGTTCGGCCTTCAATTCTCTTCCACACAGCCCACCCCTCTACGAGTAGACCACAGACTCTCTGCTCCAGTCCTGGAGGAGGCTGCAGAGCCTAGTGGTCCCTACGCAGAGCTGGTGGGTTGCCTCATGTACCTGATAACTTGCACTCATCCAGATCTCGCATACCCTCTCAGCATCCTGGCTCGCTTCGTGGCCACCGGCAGACACTGACCATAGCACTCGTTGGCAGCTAAGAGGGTTTTGCGGTATCTAGCAAGTACATCGGGCATGGGGCTAGTGCTAGGAGGACGAAGACCAGTGGTCCTTACCGGGCACACAGACGCTTCTTGGGCAGACGACGCCGAGACTCTCAAGTCCTCCCAGGGCTTCTACTTTATCCTTGGTGCAGGTGCCATCTCGTGGAGGTCCACTCATTCCTTGTCTGTTGCCCAGTCTAGCTGTGAGGCTGAGATATACGCTAGTGCCATGGCGGCACAGGAGCTCCATTGGCTGACCTTCTTGCTCACTGACCTACAGTGGCGGAAACAGTTGTCCGTATGTTTTGCAATAATTTGGGTATTTTGGTTTTGAGTCCACTATACATTGAGCCTTAATGTTTAATGGTGGTACGATTTGGGAGGGGCACATAGTGGATGTGTTAACAACACAAATATCCGGAATAGTATATTGTATCTAACTCATATCCCAAAATTTTTACAAATGGTACATCCGGACAAATAGTTCCAAGCAGAGAGGGCAAACTTCAAAAGTGTGTTTCTAGTTCCTAGCCCACCGACCTTTGGCCTTTATTTGTGTCCACACCCTCCTAACCATGCTGTCGATGAGGCCAGAGCAAACCTCTGCATGGATCTTCACCCATTCTTCTTGAACCAGGTCATAAAGCTCCAGCATTCCAGAGGAAGGTCTTTTATGCTTGGTCTGCTCCCTTTTTAAGTAAGCCCAAAGGTTGAGGTTTGATGAGAAAGAAGGCCACTCCAGGGCTACATACTCATGTTCTCCAAGTCATTTCTGTTAGGATTAAGGACGGAGTCTAGGTGAACTTAGGAGCTAGAATTACTCAAAATATAAATCCGAAATTCTGGACAGAAAAGTCGTCTTCACAAGAAACGACGTCGACGAAAAACTAGCCGTTGGAATGTCGCGAAACTTGGATATGTTGTAGCTCTTAATCTCAGCTACCGTTCCCAATTTGAATCATGTTGATTGATGAAGTATTCGCGACGCTATGGCTTTCGACGCACTAGGGGGTAAGCTGTAGGAGGAGAACTTAACTCAATCTCAAGAGTTCAATCAAAATTCAAGAATCTCACAAGGAAATTAGAAGGAGCAAGAGAAAGGTTGGGATGGGAAGAGAGGGACGAGAGGGAAGGTCCCAAGAGAGTCCCCAACCAAGGAAACCCCATAAGCACAAAGATTCCCTCCCTATAGGAACCTCAACTTTGACCTTTGTCCCTTCCCAACCAATCCATCCAAGTTGGCCACCCTTGCCAACCTAGCTTGGTTGTTCCCAACCTATTTGCAGCTGTTACAGTAGAGTGACAAGTTTCCCCAACCCCAAAGGTCCCAACTCCATATAAAGTCACCCCACAACTTCACTTAGTAACCGCCGCAATTGTAACGCAAGCTCATGAACTTTGAATCTTCATAGCTTTCGCGTTCTTGCTCCGATTGAAGCGATTCTTGTTGCGTCGGAAAGATCTTCTCAAGATCTATTATCACAAATACCTGCTCAAACAAAAATAACACAGAACACATTCCCAAACTCCAGAACACACCACACACAAATGCTTGCACATTCAAACCACACATGCAAGTTGAAAAAACATGGGATGGGAGGCAGACAGAATGTGATAGCATATGATGACATCACACAACAATCTCCCCCTCTGGCTGCCAACCATCATCGACCATACCACATCTCAAGCATGCATACTCAATGCACACTCATCCCAGCAAGCTTCATGCCCTTCCAATGATCCGCCTCCGCCAGACGCTTAGTGAAAATATCTGCTGCCTGCTGATGGGTCTTCACTATCTCCAGCCGCACCTCCTTATCAAGGAGTCTCCTCACCCAATGCCACTTAGGCCTTATGTGTTTTGTCAGCCCATGCAGACAAGCATTCTTGGCCAGCTTCACTGTAGACTCATTGTCACAGAACACAACTGTCGGCTCCTCCTGACCAACTCCCAACTCCTCCAACAAACGCCTCAGCCATACCACTTCCTTGGCCCCATGGTGTAAGGCCATGTACTCAGTCTCACATGAAGACAATCCCACCTCATTCTGCTTCTTGCTGCGCCAGCTCACAGCACCACCTCCTAGCAAGCACACATAACCCCCAATGCTGGTGCCATCCGCTTTCACTGAGTTGAAGCTAGCGTCAGTATAGCAACTCAAGAGCATCTCACCACTCTTCACATCTGCAGCACCTCTCTGCAACCGCTGCCTCACTCCACTGTACTCCAATCCCACTGATGCCGTAGCACTCACATAGCGGACCAACCTCTTGGCCGCTTCCAGCTGCTCATGACTAGGGCGTGAGACCACACTAGCCAACCGTGATGTAGAAAATGCAATGTCAGGCCGTGTATGATTTGCAGCATAATTCAGCGACCCAACCATCGAATGAAACAGCTTCCTGTCACTCTCACCCACTACCTCCTCATCAGCACATGGCTCCACAGTAAACCCCGAAGGTAGTGGTGTTGCTGGCTTTCCCCCATCTTGCAGCCCATACTTCTCAGCCAGCCCCTCACAGTACTTCCTCTGGTGCAACCTCAGCACACCCTTTTCCACATCTCTCTCCACGTGCATCCCCAAGTAGTACTTCACCTCACCCATCTTGGAGCGAACTGCATCTCCAGCATCTGCTCTGCGCTGTCCAGCAAAACAGTTGATGCAGAAAAGAGAAGGATATCATCCACATACACCAAGAGCATGAGGATTTCGTCCTTCTCCTGCAGCAGGAACAGGCTGGGGTCACACTCACTCTTCTTGAAACCCCCAGCCACCAGCGCCTCCTCCAACTTGTGATACCATGCACGAGGCGCCTGCTTAAGGCCATAGATTGCCTTCTTCAGCCTGCAGACCCTGCCGCTCCCATCATCCAGCCCCTCTGGCTGCTTCATGTACACCTCCTCCATAATGATCCCATTCAGAAAAGCAGTCACAATGTCCATCTGCCGAATCTTCCATCCCAGGAGTGCAGCTATCGCTAACAGCACCCTCAGTGTTGTTCCTTTCCCCACAGGAGCAAACACCTGATCATAGTCCTTCCCTTTTGTCTGCTGAAACCCCCTTGCCACAAGCCTGGACTTGTAGCGGGTCAGCTCCCCTTCAGGTCCATACTTGTGCCTGTAGATCATCTTGGAAGTGATTGCCTTCTTTCCAGGAGGCAAGTCACACAGGTCCCATGTCTCGTTCTCAATTAGGGACCCGAACTCCTCATCCTCACTCGCCTTCCACTTCTCCCCATTTGGTCCATTCAAGGCCTCCTCTCGAGTCTTGGGCTCAGGGATTGGTGCCCAGTAGCAGTGAGCGATCTCATCTTCCTCAATCTGCTCAACCACACTCCCAGCCTGCACCACATTCGGCTTGCCTCTTCCCCCATAGGTCAGCCTCACCGGAGGGCGCACATCCCTCCTAGGACGCTCAGGCGGGTGTGGAACTCGAGGTGGAGACTCATGCTGCTGCTGCTGCTGCTGCTCTACTTCAGCTGCTCCCCCTTCTTCAGTCACCCCAGACATCTCCTCCTCAGACACTGCAACCTCCACCTGCCTTGAAGGCTGCTGCACCTCATCTGCCTCCACAATGAGCGGTGTAGATGGAAGCTTCTGTTGCTGCTGCTTCCATTCCTTGTAGTACAGGGACTCAAGAAACTTCACATCCCTTGACACTGTCAACTTCTGGGTGGTCAAGTCCCATAGCAGCCATCCCTTGTGATCCTTTGCAATCCCCAAGTGCACACCCCATCTTCCAGAAGCCTCCAACTTCCCCCTTTTCTCCTTAGGCACATGAAACACCACCATGCACCCAAATGCCCTAGGCATGTTCACAGCTGGAGCACTCCCATACCACTTGACATATGGGATCCACTCCTTATCTCCAACTGTAGCCAGCACCCTGTTCTTCACAAGGGCGACCTGCCTCAGTGCAGACACCCAAAACGGATCAGGCAGCCCTGCACGCCCAAGGAGAGTGCGTGCCCCCTCCTGCAGGGTCCTGTTGAACCTCTCAGCCACGCCATTCTGCTGCGGATTGTAGGGCACTGTCAGTTGATGCTGGATCCCCTTCCTCTTCAACTCCCCCTCAAAATCAGCTCCAATGAACTCCCCACCATTGTCACTGCGGATCACCTTCACCTTGTGTCCGCATTCCCTCTGAGCTCTAGGCATCCACTCCTTAAGGACAGCCGCTGCCACCTCCCCCTTGCTGTTCAAAGGGTAAACCCACACTGCCCGAGTGTGGTCATCCACAATTGTCAAGAAATAGCGGCTGCCTGAGAGGGAAGGGGCTCTGGTGGGCCCCACCACATCCATGTGCACAAGTGCAAGTGGGGTCTTGGCTGGTCCTGTTGCACTGTTGAAGGGGAACTTGGAGAACTTGGTCTCCAAACATGTAGGGCAGCTCCCAATCTCCTTCACTTCCCCTTTCACCTCCAAGCCCTTCAGGCTCCCATCCTTCACCAACTTCTGTAGCATAGGGAAGTTCACATGACACAGCCTCTCATGCCATGTCTCCCAATCGGCCTCTCCACTCCTTGATGAAGCCTTAGCCCATGCCGCACTCGCATCCACACCAGCAAGCACCTCACCATGTGTCTGCTGCTGCTGCACTTTCTTGACTGCTTCCAGGACCCCATCAGTTGGTGCAGTTGCATCTCCTCCTGCTGTTGCCTTTGCCGCTGCTGCCGTTGCTGCTGTTGGAGTCTTCCCATTCCATGGGATGATGGGCAGCTGCCACAGGTCCTTGATGCAGCTGGTCTCCTCTTCCAGACTCCACAGCACCTTCTTCCCAAGCTTAGCACGGCAGCTGGTTGGTCCAAAGGTCACTTCGGCCTTGCTCTTCTGCAGTCGTCGCACAGAGAGAAGGTTAGCAGACAAGCCTTCAACCAGCAGAACATTCCCAAGCCCCACAAGCTCCCCATTAGCTCCCTTAACCTTGGCATTTCCAACACCAATGACAGGGAGCAAAGCACCTGACGCTGCTGCCACATACTTGATCTTCCCAGGGGGTTTTACCTCATCAAGCAAATCTGCCCGTGGGGTCATGTGACTGGTGCAACCCGAATCAATCACCCAGTGCGTGAGAGGGTGCATCACAACCTTTCCCACAGATCCCACATCACCCTCATGCCCATGCACATCCCCAACCATAAGAAACAAACCAGGATAGGCATTACCTTGTGCACCTTCACCTTGTGCACCTGAGCCTTGCACAGCGCCACCTTGTGCGCGTTCACCACTGGGCGGCTTCATGCCTGGAGGTGCCCATCCCTCCGGCCTGCTGAAGCACTTGAACCAAGGATGCCCTATCTTCTTGCAGTACCAGCAGGTGCCCTCCATTATGGTACTCCCCCTGCCACTGGAGCTTCCATGCCCCTCATTATAGTCATCTCGGCCTCTACCTCTGCCAAAGCTCCTCCCACGGCCTCGGCCTCTCCAACCCCCTCTTCCTTTGCCGCGCCCTGCAGCTCCATACCCCTCAGCAGTCTTCGTGGCAGCACCGCCTCCCACATGGCGTCTACGGAAGTCCTCCTGCAGAATCTGCTGCCTTAGCCACTCAGGTGTCCATTGATCTTGCTGAGAGTTGAGGGTGGGGATGAGGTTGTCCCAAGAGTTGTCCAACACCGAGATGATCTTGGTGCACTGCTGCAGCTGAGATACACTGCTGCCCGCTGCTGCCATCCTTGCATTGGTGTCCTTGATCTTGTCAAGGACCGGCTTCACATCGTCCCCTGGTCGCATGGAGATGGCAGCAAGTTCCTTCTCGAGCACGATCACCATCGGGATAGTGTTGGGCTGAATCACATCGCGTAGTAGTTTCCACGCCCTTGGACCCGAATCATCCGCTTCCACAAGATCCTTGATGTGCTCGAACATCTCCTTGTTGACCGATTGAAGGATGAGGTCGAAAAGCACCGCGCTTTTCTCAATCCACCGTTCACGTGCTTCGCCTTCTTCCGGCATCTTCTCTTCCCCAACAGCAATCTTCAGTAGCTTGTAGCGTTTGAAGGCACTCCTCATCCGTCCGCTCCATTCCTCATAGTTGGAGCCATCCAAAGCTTCAACTTTTGATGGCGGCGGCTCACTTGTCTTCTCAGCTACAGCTCCTCTTCCATTAGCATCTCCTCCTCTCTCATTCATCTCCTCCTTGAGAAATGACGAATTTCAGCTCCCCTTTGCTGTCCACACTCAGCTCCCTCGATATTTTCACAAGTATCGGCGTCCACGAAATTTCGGCAGAGTTTCCCCTTAGCGGAAGACACATCCAACCTTTAGAACACCACTTAGGCACACCCACAGGCCATGGTGGGTCTAGAAGGGTCTTCACACTTCTGTAGACTCCTCTCAATGTCCTTAATATCGCTCTGATACCACTTGTTAGGATTAAGGACGGAGTCTAGGTGAACTTAGGAGCTAGAATTACTCAAAATATAAATCCGAAATTCTGGACAGAAAAGTCGTCTTCACAAGAAACGACGTCGACGAAAAACTAGCCGTTGGAATGTCGCGAAACTTGGATATGTTGTAGCTCTCAATCTCAGCTACCGTTCCCAATTTGAATCATGTTGATTGATGAAGTATTCGCGACGCTATGGCTTTCGACGCACTAGGGGGTAAGCTGTAGGAGGAGAACTTAACTCAATCTCAAGAGTTCAATCAAAATTCAAGAATCTCACAAGGAAATTAGAAGGAGCAAGAGAAAGGTTGGGATGGGAAGAGAGGGACGAGAGGGAAGGTCCCAAGAGAGTCCCCAACCAAGGAAACCCCATAAGCACAAAGATTCCCTCCCTATAGGAACCTCAACTTTGACCTTTGTCCCTTCCCAACCAATCCATCCAAGTTGGCCACCCTTGCCAACCTAGCTTGGTTGTTCCCAACCTATTTGCAGCTGTTACAGTAGAGTGACAAGTTTCCCCAACCCCAAAGGTCCCAACTCCATATGAAGTCACCCCACAACTTCACTTAGTAACCGCCGCAATTGTAACGCAAGCTCATGAACTTTGAATCTTCATAGCTTTCGCGTTCTTGCTCCGATTGAAGCGATTCTTGTTGCGTCGGAAAGATCTTCTCAAGATCTATTATCACAAATACCTGCTCAAACAAAAATAACACAGAACACATTCCCAAACTCCAGAACACACCACACACAAATGCTTGCACATTCAAACCACACATGCAAGTTGAAAAAACATGGGATGGGAGGCAGACAGAATGTGATAGCATATGATGACATCACACAACAATTTCTACACTAGGCATAACAAATTCTAGGGGTCATTGTCCGCACCGAAATTACTTTAGAGGGGAAAATGCTATAGAAATGGAGGGTCAATTCGAGTTGTCATACAAAATGCCCTCATACAGGGGCCTCTCCATGCGTCCGTCAATCTTGCATATGAACCCCACCCGCGCACATGTTACACATCCCCACACCATCACCGATCCTTGTCCCCATCAATTTCCATCTGTTTGATCTGGTGGTGCTGCAGAGTTGTGCCTTTACGAATCCAGGCAAACGTGCGGCCATTGGAGCTGAAGCAGTTGATGTTGGTCCCATTTGACCAGATCACATGCTTTTGAACACTAATTGTCCACTCAGCATGCGACTCCACGAATTGCAGAACAATCATGGCTTCTACGAATTCTGCACCGTGACTAGACCAGAGGAACCTAGTGTGTTTTTAATGGTGCAAGGATGCACATTCAACCGTGCAACGTTACCCTCATTTTCGTAGTGTCTACGCTAGATTGGGCCACTCTATTCGTGATTTTACCCTATAATGGTACGACGAAGACGATCCGTGATAAGATTTGGCTGACCGACTAATTGCATCTTTGGCCACACCTCAGCATGGCTAGTTTCAAATATACCATTCAATCCAAAATCGTCCACAATACTCTTGCCTACGCCCATTTTTTTCGCGATTTTCCAAATGCTCACCCCTTGATGTAAAATGGTGGGTCCAGGAAGAATGCAAGAAGGTCCTTGCCGAGGTTTGTACTAACCTCGTAGGTAACATGCCTAGGAGGGTGCGGGTGGTGATCAAGGCCAAAGGTCGGTGGGCTATGTACCAGAAACGCAGTTTTGAAGTTTGATCTCTCTGCTTGGAAATATTTGTCCGGATGTACCCTGTAATTTTCTTCTGGGATATCAGTTGGATCCAATGTACTAAGCTGGATTTTTGTGCTGTAAACACATCCACTATGTGCCCCTCCAAAATTGTACCACCATTAAACATTAAGGCTTAATGTATAGTGGTCTTAAAGCCTAAAAACCCAAATTAATGCTAAGAATACGGACAATTGTTTCCACCACTATAGGTGAGCTGCCTAGCTCTGCCTCGGTTCTGTACGCTGACAACAGGGCCATGATCCTCCAGTGTCAGGAGCCTAGACTCGAGGGCAGAGCAAAGCACATCCAGCTGCGGTACTTCACCTTGCGCAAGCTACAGCAGCGTTGCCCGGCCCGCGTAGTACACTTGGCCTCCGGTGCCAACACAGCTGATATCTTTACGAAGGCGCTTGCGCCTAAAGATCATCAGCGGCACTATATACAGCTAGGTCTCGTTCCTGTAGCCTCTCACTTGCTAGGACATTGATTGTGTACAGACCTTTATATATATTACCCTGACTGGCCTTGTGGCCTCTCCCAAGTGGCTAGACTAGTAGTGCCGTCGTGGTCTTGCTCTTGCCTTGTTTGTTCTCGTTAACTGGTCTTTAGACCCTTGCCTCAGAGGTTGGACTAGTAGTGCCACTCTGAGCTGCTTGTCTCTCACCAGGCACTGCCCCTATCCAGTCTAGGGGGTGTGTCAAACATATCTTTGTATGTTGTTATAGACTATACAGGGTTGTGCCTTAGGGAGTACAACCCTGTGGTTATACTCTCTTGTATGTCATTGTTCTAATCATTCGTTCCCTTTGATACAGGATGCGTGGGAGGAATGTCTCTGGCCGCGAGGGTCTTAGCAGAATTTTCGGGGTTGCAGGGTGTTTTGGGGGGTGGGGGGGATGTTTCTGGTCGCGAGGGACTTCACTGAAATTTCAGAGTATCAGTACCAGGGTAGATTTCATGACGCCCTGGCGGGTCAGGGTGTGGGGTTCCGCAGCAAGCCTATTTCCGTCAGGGTAAATTTTTTGTAACACTTAAAGCGAGAGGCTAAAATACTTACCCTCCTTTCAAGTTGGACCCAATTCATAGTAGTTCGGCTCAAGAGTGTGTTGGTTGGAAACTTGCAAGACAATTATTTTTTGGGGGGCCAACTTGTGTTTGTGCGAAAGCTGGTGACAAAAATACGAATGAACATTTTGCATGATTCTCGCAAATCACAAGCCATCCCACTACCCTGCGAAAGACGAGTTGAGGACCTTGATTTTGAGATTCCCCTCAGATATCACTTCAAAGTACCTGCAAAATAAAACATGCAGGAGAAATACGACATAGAGAGAGATGCGCGGCGACAGGTGCGGAGAGCGGGAGAGATACGGTGAGTGGGAGAGGTGTTCAGAGCGGGAGCGCGAGAAGGAAAGCCCTTGGGAAATCGAAGGAGAGGGGCGAAGAGAGAGGAAGTGGGCGGAAAGAGAGGGAGAGGCGCAGAGATAGAGTCTGAGGCGCGAAGAGAGAGCAGAGGCACGGAAATAGACGGAGAGGTGCAGAAAAAGAAGAGGTGCGGAAATAGAAGGAGAGGTGACGGGAGAGAGGGAGAGGTGGGGAGAAAGAGGGAGAGGCGTGGACAGAGAGGGAGAGGCGCAGATAGAGAGGGAGAGGTGCGGAGAGATTGGAAGAGGTGTAAACGGAGGGAAAGGTGAGGAGAGAGAGAGGGAGAGGGTGAGTGCTCATTGAAAGGAGTGGGACTATCGCCATCTCCCTGCGCCACATCCTCTTTCAAAGCGAAAATCTCATCCGCTATCCTTCTCGCCGCGCCATGTCATTCTCGTCGCGCCGCACTACACTCTTCCGCGGCACTACACACTCTATCCAGCCATGTTTCTCTCGCTCTCTCTCTCTTTCCCACCACGCCACTCTCTCTCTATCCCATCGCGCTACTCTCTCTCTCTCTCTCCCCCGCGCAGTACTCCCTCTCTCCCGCCATGCTACTCTCTCTCTCTCTCTCTCTCTCTCTCTCTCTCTCTCTCTCTCTCTCTCTCTCTCTCTCTCTCTCTCTCTCAATCTCTCTCTCTCTCTCTCTCTCTCTCTCTCTCTCTCTCTCTCTCTCTCTCTCTCTCTCTCTCTCTCTCTCTCTCTCTCTCTCGCTCTCTCTCTCTCTCTCCCGCGCTACACCACGGTGTTTCCCCTGGAGCGGAAGGCCGACATGCCTGACATTCTTATCCTGTGGCCTGTCGCTGCACCCCTCCACCGCGGTCTCCCTGTGCTGTGTCTCCACTCCGACCGTGGCGGCGAGTTCGCCTCTGGTCGGCTGGGTCAAATCTGTCGTGCGGAGGGTATCACCCAGACGTACACCCTACCGGACTCCCCGCAGCAGAATGGGTCGCTGAGCGACGCATCGGTTTGGTCATGGAGGTGGCTCGTACCTCCATGATCCATGCCGGTGCACCCCATTTTCTGTGGCCGTTCGCCGTTCGCTACGCCGCTCACCAGCTTAATCTCTGGCCTCGCTCTCAGCGCCAGCAAGTTTCGCCGACCCATCTTTGGACCGGGTTCCCTGGTGACGTGTCAGCGTTCCACGGCTAGGGCTGCCTCGCTCACGTTTGTGCCTCCGGAACGGACAAGCTCACTGCCCGCACCGTCCCCTGTGTCTTCCTCGGTTTCCCCCTTGACTCGTCTGACTGGCACTTCTACCACCGGTCGTCTCACCGCTTCCTTCACTCCCGTAACGTCACTTTCGACAAGTTTGTCTCCTTTTTCCGCCGCTTTCCTCACCAAGGTCTCCCGGTTTCCCCCCCCCCCCTGTTTCTAGTTCCCAAGCCCCCGGTCGCCCCTGCTCCGCTCCCTCCCCGTCCTGCTCTGTCTGGTGTGTCTCGCGTCACTCCCCTCCCGTCGGCTGTCCCGGTCGAGGAGTCGGCTGACTCCGGTGGCCCCGCGGCATAGTTTGCGCCACCTGTCCCTTCCCCGGTGTCTCCTCCTCCCTCGCCGCAGTCGCCGCCGCAGCCGCCGCCGTCACCGCCACCGCAGCCGCAGCCGTCGTCGCAGCCGCAGTCGTAGCCGCAGCCGTTCGTGGACTACGGGGGTGCTGGAGTTGGAGAGGGTTCTAGTCTTGGGGCTCCTGTCGTGGCTTGTCCCGGCGGGCTCGGGGGTGGCACCGGCGCCGGAGACATTTCTCGTTCTGGGGGTGCTGGCGTGGAGTGTACCAGAGGTAGCAGTGGTGCAGCTGGTGGTCGAGGTGTCGGCGTTCAGCAGCAGCAGCAGCAGCAGTCGCCGCCGGTGTCCGCCCTTTGCCTGCTTGGCCTTCCCTTCCCTGACCGCTTGCCTGTGCCTCCCTCGCCGTCTCCCCCTCTTCCTGTTCTCGGTCCCGTGTTTCCTTCGTCGGACTCGTTTCCGGCTCGTTTCCCCTCTTATTCCCCTCTTATTAGTCCTCCTCTGTCTCCTGACCCGACGCCTCCGTCTCACGTCTGGTCTCGCTGTCCCTCTTGTGCTCGTCCTGTCTCTTCTGTTCAGCGTTCTCACCCTATGTTGCTTCGTTCCCATGCGTCTCATCCTCCCCGTTTGCCTTCGCCTCCTCCGTCGTTGCTCATTGTCGCGCCTCCCCTTCTGTCTGACTACCTTCTTGCAGCTCGTCCTCTTGTTCCTTGGGTCCTTGCCTCCCTCGTTACTGACCCGTCTCTTCCTGTCTCCTGTCTTGACGCTCTTGTCGCTGCTGTCGATGACTTTGCCTCTACTCGCCACCTTGACTTTGCTACCACTCTGGTCTCTGACCCTGTCTGTCCTCCGTCCGTCGGGGGTGCTCCTGCCCTCGGCAGTGACGTCTTGGAGGACCGGCACTACGAGCTTGCTTTCCTGTCAGAGGCTGCTCCCCATCTCTGTTCCATGGTGCTAGTCCCTGAGGGTGACCCTGACGCCTTTGACATCCCGACCCCTCGCAACTACGTTGAGGCGACCTCGGGACCCTGGGCCTCTCAGTGGATAGCTGCCATGGAGCAGGAGATGGCATCTTGGAGGGCTACCGGCACCTACGTCGACGCAGTTCCCCCGCCTGGGGCGAACGTAGTCGATGGCCGGTGGCTCTT